GCCCGGGCGGCTCCGGGGGGTCCCCGGGGTCCCCCCCCCGGCGGGCGCGGGCGGCCTCGAGCCCCTTGAGGCGCCGGGCGTGGCGATTGCCCTGGTAGTGAGCGGCGGCCTGGCTCTGGGGACAGGGACAGGGACAGTGTGACACCCTGGGGACAGCCCAGGGACACCCTGGGGACAGGGACACTGCTGGGGGACAGGGACAGGGACAGTGTGACACACCCTGGGGACAGTGACACTGCCGGGGGACAGGGACAGTGACACTGCCCCATTGCCCGGGTAGTGAGCGGCGGCCTGGCTCTGGGGACAGGGACAGGGACAGTGTGGGGACAGTGTGACACACCCTGGGGACAGCCCAGGGACACCCTGGGGACAGGGACACTGCTGGGGGACAGGGACAGTGTGACACACCCTGGGGACAGTGACACTCTCGGGGGACAGCCCAGAGACACCCTGGGGACAGTGTGACACTGCCAGGGGACAGCAGGGGACAGTGTGACACACCCTGGGGACAGCCCAGGGACACCCTGGGGACAGGGACACTGCTGGGGGACAGGGACAGTGTGACACACCCTGGGGACAGTGACACTCTCGGGGGACAGCCCAGAGACACACCCTGGACAGTGTGACACTGCCAGGGGACAGCAGGGGACAGTGTGACACACCCTGGGGACAGCCCAGGGACACCCTGGGGACAGCGTGGGGACAGTGACACAGCCTGGGGACAGTGTGACATCCCCGGGACATGGGGACAGCCCCAGGACACAGCTGGGACACTGTCACCCCCCCCGGGACACTGTCACCCCCCAGGGACACTGTCACCCTCCCGGGACATTGTCACCCCTCTAAGGGACACTGTCACCCCCCCGGGCTCTGGGTCACCCTCTCCAGACCCTGTGCCACCCCCTGGGGACCCCCAAGTGGCAGATTTGGGGGAGGGGGTCCCTCCCAGTTGGGGTTCCCAGGTTTTGGGGGGTCCCAGTTGGGGGGTCCCGGTTCGGGGTCCCACATTTTGGGGTCCCGGTTCGGGGGTCCCACCTCGGAGTTGAAGCGGATCTGGCAGACGCTGCAGGCGATCACCGGGCGCCGGGGCTTGGCCAGAGCCCCCAGCCCCACCTTGGGCAGGGGCTCCATCTGGGGGGCACGGGGGGGTCAGCACCCCAAAACACCCAAAAAACCCCAATATAACCCCAAACACCCCAAAAGAACCGCAAAAAACCTAAAATAACCCCAAACACCCCAAAATACCCCAAAAAACTCAAAATAACCCCAAAAAAACCCCCAAAATATCCCCCCAAAACTGCCCCCAGCCCCACCTTGGGCAGGGGCTCCATCTGGGGGGCACGGGGGGGTCAGCACCCCAAAATACCCCAAAAAACTCAAAATAACCCCAAAAAAACCCAAAATAACCCCAAACACCCCAAAATATCCCCAAACACCGCAAAATAACCCCAAACACTGCAAAATAACCCAAAAAACTCAAAATAACCCAAAAAAAACCCCAAAATATCCCCCCAAAACTGTCCCCAGCCCCACCTTGGGCAGGGGCTCCATCTGGGGGGCACGGGGGGGGTCAGCACCCCAAAATAACCCCAAACACCCCAAAATAACCCCCAAAAAAACCAAGACAAGCCCAAAAAACCTAAAATAACCCCAAATACCCCAAACTAACCCCAAAAAACTCAAAATAAACCCAAAAAAAACCCCCAAATAACCCCAAAGCCGCCAAAACATCCCCCCAAAACTGCCCCAGCACCTCCTTCAGCATTGGCTCCACCTGGGGGAGGGGTCAGAACCCCAAAACCACCCCAAAAACCCCAAAACCACCCCAAAAACCCACAAAGCACACCCCAATACCCCCAAGACCCCAAAAATCCAGAGATCCCAAAAATCCAGGGACCCCAAAAATCCAGAGAATCCAAAAATCAGAGACCCCGAAATCAGAGACCCCGAAATCAGAGACCCTGAAATCAGAGACCCCGAAATCAGGGACCCCAAAATCAGGGACCCCAAAAATCCAGAGATCCCAAAAATCCAGGGACCCCAAATATCCCGGGACCCAAAAAAAATCCAGGGATCCCAAAATCACAGACCCCGAAATCAGGGACCCCGAAATCAGAGACCCCAAAATCAGAGACCCCAACAATCAGATGGGGTCTCTGGGTTTTGGGGTCTCTGATTTTGGGGTCTCTGATTTTGGAGTCTCTGATTTTGGGGTCTCTGGTTTTGGGGTCTCTGGGGGTCTCTGGTTTTGGGGTCTCCGGGTTTTGGGGTCTCTGGGGGTCTCTGGTTTTGGGGTCTCCGGGTTTTGGGGTCTCTGGGGGTCTCTGGTTTTGGGGTCTCCGGGTTTTGGGGTCTCTGGGGGTCTCTGGTTTTGGGGTCTCCGGGTTTTGGGGTCTCTGGGGGTCTCTGGTTTTGGGGTCTCCGGGTTTTGGGGTCTCTGGGGGTCTCTGGTTTTGGGGTCTCCGGGTTTTGGGGTCTCTGGGTCCGCGGGCGCTGCGCCCCCCCCAGCAGCTCGGTGAGGTTTGGGGGGCCGGGGGGGGGTCAATGACGGATGAATTATTGATTAATTATTGATTAATTATTGATGAACGATCCCTGAATGATCCGTGAATTACCGAGGAATGATGGATGAATTATTGATGAATTAATAATTAATTATTGATCCCGGACGAGTCCCGGCTGCTAATGAGGCGTAATTGAGCCCCGGCAGTGTCCGTGGGCAGCGGGCCGTGACCGCGTCCCCAGGAGTGTCACTGCGTGTGTCACCGTGTGTGTCCCTGTGTGTGTCCCTGTGTGTGTCACTGCGTGTGTCACAGGAGTGTCACTGTGTGTGTCACCGCGTCCCCAGGAGTGTCACCATGTGTGTCACCGCGTGTGTCACCATGTGTGTCCCTGTGTGTGTCACCGCGTGTGTCACCGTGTGTGTCACCGTGTAGCCCCACCTTGGGCAGACCTCCCTGTGTGTGTCACCTCACTGTGTGTGTCACCGTGTCCCCAGGTGTGTCACCACATCCCCAGGAGTGTCACTGTGTGTGTCACCGCGTCCCCAGGAGTGTCACCATTTGTGTCACCGTGTGTGTCACTTTGTGTCCCTGTGTGTGTCACCGTGTGTGTCACCGTGTCCCCAAGTGTGTCACTGTGTGTGTCCCCGTGTGTGTCACCGTGCCCCCAGGTGTGTCCCCGTGTGTGTCACCGTGTCCCCAAGTGTGTCACTGTGTGTGTCCCCGTGTGTGTCCCCGTGTGTGTCACCGTGCCCCCAGGTGTGTCCCCGTGTGTGTCACCACATCCCCAGGTGTGTCACTGTGTGTGTCACCATGTGTGTCACCATGTCCCCAGGTGTGTCATCATGCCCCCAGGTGTGTCATCATGCCCCCAGGTGTGTCACCGTCTGTGTCATCGTGCCCCCAGGAGTGTCACCGTGTGTGTCACCAAGTGCCCAGGTGTGTCACTGTGCCCCCAGGTGTGTCCCCGTGTCCCTGTGTGTGTCCCCCATCCCTCTGTGTCCCCCTGTCCGTGTGTCCCCCCATGTCCCCATGTGTGTCTCCCCATGTCCCCCGTCCCTAAATGTCCCCCCCTGTCCTCTGTGTCCCCTGTGTCCCCAAGTGTCCCCCCCCGTCCCTGAGTGCCCCCCGTGTCCCCCCCTTTCCCTGAGTGCCCCCCATGTCCCCGAGTGTCCCCCCCGTGTCCCCAGGCCCCTCAGGGTCAGACTCGTTTATTGGGGGGCCCCGAGGCCGCCCCCCCCCATTAAATACAAACCAAAGCCACGCCCCCCCATAGTGCAAACCCCCCGTGACACCGGGGACAGCCTGGGGACACCCTGGGGACACCAGGACACCTTGGGGACACCCCGGGGCCAGGGGGGGTCGAGGCTGTCCCCCCAAAGTCGGGGTCAGTGCAAAGTGAGGCGCCCGCGGTGGGGGCAGGGCAGGGCAGGGCGGTGGCACCGGGGATAGCGGGTGACACTGGGGACAGCGGGTGACACCGGGGGCAGCGGGTGACACCAGGGATAGCGGGTGACACCAGGGATAGCGGGTGACACTGGGGATAGCAGGTGACACTGGGGGCAGCAGGTGACACCGGGGATAGCGGGTGACACCAGGGATAGCGAGTGACACCGGGGATAGCGGGTGACACTGGGGGCAGCGGGTGACACCGGGGGCAGCGGGTGACACGGGGGATAGCGGGTGACACTGGGGGCAGCGGGTGACACCAGGGATAGTGGGTGACACCGGGGATAGCGGGTGACACTGGGGGCAGCGGGTGACACCGGGGATAGTGGGTGACACCGGGGATAGCGGGTGACACTGGGGGCAGCGGGTGACACTGAAGCAGCGGGTGACACCAGGGATAGCGGGTGACACCGGGGGCAGCGGGTGACACCAGGGATAGCGGGTGACACCAGGGATAGCGGGTGACACC